TGGATAAAGAAGTTAATGCATCAATTCTTCGCTTGGCAACCTTCATACTCCCACTGCAAAAGCATTTGGAATAACAAACACGACAATGCCAATCCTCCAGTACAAACACGACAATACTAATCCTCCAGTACAAAAAACTAGTGCCAAAAGAGGACATTTTTCCACAAAAAGTGTATTCTTTACACCTTTTACTTTTAAACTATCACTTGTTTTGATTCATGCAACATTCCTTGACTGATGTTCACTACCAACGTAAATAGAGAAAATATTAAACAATGTATAGAAAGTGTAACAGTTACCAGCACAAAAAGTGGAATCCGAGTTCATATTCCAGTTCATTCTGTTTTGTTTGTTTCCTGCTAATGCCCTTGGAACAGGCATGAAACTATTTCCCCTCTGCTATGGGTTAAATCGCCAACCAGACTTATCCTGAATTCAATGAGGATGGCTATTTGGAAACTTTGTGGCTCACTGTGTGCTATTTCTCTTTTATCAGTTCTTTAAAAAAAAGTGTATCTGGTTCAACACAAGCGTTAACTAACATAATCAAATCATTTGTGTGGGTAGTATTGTGCTTGAGTACTAAATTGAAATATATATATATATACATATATAAATATATATATATATATATGAAGAAATATAGTCTTAAGGTGTGCTATATTTATGGGATAAAGTGCTCAATATCAGAGATAGGCGTGTGTCTAATAAAAATGAACATAAGAGTCAAAACCAAAGACGACCAGTCTGTTTAATGTTATATATGCAATATAAATAAATATATATATTGCATATATATGAAATATATGTCATATGAAATATATATATATATATATATATAATATATTTTTAAGACATTTTTATGTTTATACATTCTTTTTATAGATACAAATATTTAAGTAAATGCGCTGTTTATAATAAACAGTATTAAACAACATTTACCGGCCTGAATGTCCGAGAAATTTTCACGGAAAATATTCGTCCACCGACAGGATTTGAACCTGTATCTTACACGGAACTGTCATTTAGCTTGACATGCCTTTACCAATTTGGCCATGAAGGAGCATTCAGTTAGCAAGGTCGAATTTAATGTATTTAAACTTCAATCTTCCATGAATCTCTCACGTACATTCATATCTGCTCATGGCGTATCAAATGTAAACAAATGACATCACACATTATGAAATGGACATAGTCCGTCAATTATTTTAAGACATTTTTATGTTTATACATTCTTTTTATAGATACAAATATTTAAGTAAATGCTCTGTTTATAATAAATATATATATATAATAAATAATATATATTATATATATATATTTATATGTATGTATGTATGTATGTATGCATTCATGAATACATATAAATACATATATGTATATATATGTACACTGGTAAAAATAAGTTTAAGACCAATGATTAAAGTTTTATTCATTTCAGATTATGTTTTTCTAATAAAACAATAAAAAATAGTTTTATTGTGTAGGCTTTATGCAGAATTTATTTCTCTTTCAACTGATGTAAAAATTGTATGATTTTTTACAACTTTACAAATTTTAATGTTTGATTAATTTAAATTATTCAAATTTGCTGGCAAAATAAGTTTAAGACCTCATGGGTATTATCATATTTAAAGCAAAAAGTTATAGTAAAAATGAGCTCAAAAAACCAAAATATTTATCAATATTTAATGCTGTAACTTTTATTATTAATTACAGCTTCACATTGCCTAGGCATTGAGCTTGATAAGGAAGCACAAAAATCATTTGGAATGCACTGCCATATTTGCTTAATATAACCGTATAATTAGGCTACATTTGTTGTTTTTTTTTTAGTGTGAACTCTTTTAGAAATATAATTCCATAAATTTTCAATCGGATTAAGATCCAAACTCCATGGAAGTCACTCAATGACGTCTATATTATGGTGATCAAAAAATTGCATTGCTTTTTTGGCTTTATGAATGGGGCTATTATCTTGTTGATAAATAGCTCCAGGTGGCATTTGGTCAGTCAAATATGGCAGAACATGTTCCTTAACTAGCTACATATAGCTGCACACTGTTGAGTTTAACAATTGGAAAATACCAAATTACTACTGCCTTTTTTATAGGAAACAACCGTTTTTTTAACACATTTAGAATGGAATTTTTCTGGTTCCAAGCATCTGACAAAGGTTTTTCCATCCTATCCAAAGATGCAAAATCATGACTCGTCACTCCAAAGAACTCTACACCAGTCATCAGCCGTCCATTGAATGTGACTTTTCTTGAAATTCAGCTGCTTGAGTTGATTCCTCACTGAAATAATTGTTTTTTTTCTAGCAATGTACCTGAATATTCCAAACTCTCTTAGATGGTTTCAGACAGTTTGTGGGAGTAAAAAAACTAATACCAGTTGTACCAGATAATTGGCTGCAAATTATATTGTCAGCATTAGTTAGCTTCAAGCCTATGAATTCATCTATCCAGTTGCACTGTTGTTTTCTTGGGGCTATTGATTTTTACCTATCCTTATATTATCCAGTATCCTTAAAGCTTCAAATCATTTTGCTGCACTTTACCTTGACTTATAAAACAAAAAAATGTTTTGTTGATGAAGTAAACTATTACAGACTCAAGTCACATTTTAAGACTATGTAAAAATTCCCATAGTTAATTAATTTTTATAACAATGCTTAGTTATTATACTGTATATTGCATTAATGACCAACCATGTAACCATCCATAACAAATTATACCCATGCGGTCTTAATTTTGTTTTGCTGGCAAAATTTGGATAATTTAAATTAATCCAGCATTAAAATGTTTCAAGTTTTGAAAAATATACAATTTTTTACATCATCAAAAGATTATAAATTCTTCATAAAGCATACAAAAGTTTAATTTTAATTTATATTGTTTTATTATCAAAAGATATTCAAAAAATAAATAAAACTTTAACCATCGGTCTTAAACTTATTTTTTAAAAATAATGTATATATATATATATATATATATATATATATTATAAAAAAAAAAACAGATATATATATAGAAAATATATATATATATATATATATATATATATATATATTTATATCATGATAAATAAAACAAAACCAGTAAATGGAACTCAAGAGACAACTAGCCAAGGATTTAAACTCTTATTCAGATAAAAGTCTTGAAAAAAAACAAGAATACTGAAAAAAAACAAAAAAGTGCCAAAAATAAAAGTCATACTCAAAATTTGTGTTCCAACTATAGATTGCCAGAACATTGCAAAAACACTTAACAATGTTAAAGCTTATGAAAGGATGTTTCTAGTGAATAATATAACAATTGATCAAAAAATGACTTGGACACAAATGAAATAAAAAGGACGAACTTTATATGGGTTGACCTTAAATCACAAGGTGTTAAAGCAAATGGGAAAAAAAATAAAACAAAATAATTTAATTTAAAAAACCCATGAATAACCACACCTTCAATATAAATGAAAATATATATATATATATATACACTGACTTAAAAGTAAAAGGTGTAAAGAATACACATTCTGAAGAAGATCCTTCTAGAAACAAAGCATGATGTAGAAAGTTTTTCCACTTTTTCATTCAAATATCTCCTATTATTCTGATATGGGAATTTGCATTTCTGGTTTTTAGCCTTCAGATTTGATAAGGTAATTTATTGCTCCTCATATCCTCAAAAATTCCAACACACTTTCCTTACACACAGATTTGTCTTTTATTCTGAGCTGTACAGTCAAGTACTTTTATTTAACAAATGCATCATTTATAAGCTTTTTCACTTTGTCTCATCCTCTCGACTTTAATGAATTTTTTCAGAACATTTAAATGCAAAAAAAAACAAAAAAACTTCAGTAATGGATAGCTACATATAGATTCTGCCTTACCAGTTGCAATCCTGATGATGATCTCAGAATGAGATAGAAAATACTTAGGAAATAAAAGTGATTTTCACTGTTACAGTACATTTCTTGCACCATTTGATTATAATATACAAAAAAATATTTACAATATGAAAGGATTGTAATAAAATAAGCAGACAGAATTTTGTAATTTATTTAATCAGACATATAAAAAGGAAAAGCATTAAATATATTAGATATATATATATATATTTGGTTGGATTAATTAAAATTTAAAGACCCTGGGTTTCAAGACATTGAACAATTTTTTGTTTGTCTGATGATTTTTTTGAAATGAAAGTCAAAAAACAAAAAAAATCAATCCAAATAAATGGTTATTCTTTATCTCTGATATTGAGCTTTTAAATAAGCATATACAATAATATATAAATAATTATATACATATATATATATAAACAAAAATAGTTTTAAAATTGGGCTATATTAATGGGATAAATTGTTCAATATGATAGAGGTTAAGCAATTAAAATATAAAGTGAACATTGAAGTCAATGTGCCATTTTGGAGGCTGTTTCATCTTTAGGATAAAACATAAAAGTAATAAGTTTTAAATTTAAATGATGAATGCTGAATCTTGACTTCAAATTTCATTTCCTTTAATAATATATATATTTTACATATTTTTTTTCTCTATAAACTGTTCTCTGGCTGTGATATATTTTCTCAAGGAGTGATAAAAGTTGCATTATCAAGAAGCAAAAGAAGATATCTTCATGTGACAAACACACACACACACATAGATTTTATATAACACAGCCTGTTTTTGCAATTTTTTTTTTTAATCAAAAGCCAGAAAAGGAAGTGTTGCCATTACAAAGTTTGAAGATTGTGGATGAGAATTGTTTGACATTCAAATGATGCAAACTTAAGCAGAACTTAAGATGAATATAAAGAGAGAGAGAGAGAGAGAGAGAGAAATCAAAGTTAAGTCATCTTAACTCTGCCAGGTATGACATTTGGCATAAGCAGGCCAAGTAGTTTTGGCACCGGATGAATTATCAAACAAGGACATGGACAACATCAAACTTGTTTCTTTCATTCAACACAGGCTTTTTTAAACACCTCATCTACAAAGGAGAGATAGATAGATAGATAGATAGATAGATAGATAAGAACAGGACTAGGTAGATAGATACTTGCAAACTGAGGAACAAATTGATAGTGATAGAAAAGGTAATATTAGCTGTTTCCTTATAAGAAAATTTGGCATTCATTGACTGAGCAGCCAGTTCTACTTTCAGTTGAAATTTATCAAAACAAATAGGTTTCTCAAGTGCAGTAGCTGCTATAATTTTTTTCCACTATTGATAGAGGTTTCCTTCCTAACCTTTTATTTGAATAGTGTGGAACATCAACATCTTGATTATGTCATTATTTTCTCTTCAAGTTACACGTGATATCCATTTTAGTTGTTGCTGTTGTTGAAAGTCCTCAAGTGATGTGTTTTCTGGTATTTGGTACAATTCTTTGTGATTCTGTAGCACAAGTCTAGAAAGTTAAAAGAGAGAATGATTTTTGCCAAGACAGTGTTCACTCACTCAAAGCCATTTTTAGCTCTTGATTTTAGAAAGTGCTTGTACACAGTTGACAGTTTAGATATTTCTGAATTGGTTTGGTGACATGCATGACATCAAGTCTCAATATGCCAAGGCTATTTAAGAACATGACAAATTTCAGGTTAATATTTTATTTTGTAGCAATTTGTGGTGTTGAATGAAACTACCTCAGGTGCAGTCTAATCTATGTTCAATTTCCTTTTCTCCTATACTAAATTTGTTATAAATGTTCCAAATGCTGAGGTATTTGAAGTGTTTAGCAGATAGATAGATAGATATGTGCAGACTGCAGATAGATAGATGCATGTAAATTGAGGAATAAATTGAGACAGATAGATAGATAGGTGGATAGATATATTAAACTGTGCAGTATATATATTATATCATAATATATAATTATACAAAGAATTAATTAGCTGTGTTAATTGCAGTTAATGGTGAAATCACTTTGCTAACAAGACTTAAAGAGACATTAACTTACTATCAATTCCTTGAATAATGCAATCCTTATATTTGGATTGTTGACAGATGTTGATAGGTAGATAGATACAGATTGAGGAACAAATTGAGATAGAGAGATTAATAGATAGAAGTAGATAGATATTTATGATAGTATATATCATAATAATAATAATAATAATTATGGATATATTATAATAATTAGATATTAATAGAGAGATTAATAGGCTGAATTAGATATGTGCAGACTAAGATAATAGACTCTAGATAATAGAGAGAAGGGGCACCTTGAGTCAGTGTAATGGTTAGCAAGCTTGTCTCCCTAGAACAATATTACTTATTATAAAACGCAGATTGTGTGTGTGTGTGTGTGTGCGTCTATACGTTTATATATTGGATCGGAATTCCTACATTTTTCAACCGATTTCAACAAAACTTCACAGGACTGCATAAAATTACCTTGCGATGGTTCTGACTGCACCAAAAATTGGAAAAACACAATTGTTTTTGCACGAAATCAATTTGAAAACACTTAAAATACAATTCTGTCACCAGAATGAAAGGGGGACAACTCATATCGAATTATACTTATTATAAAACCCAGGTTGTTTGTGTGTGTGTGTGTGTGTGTGTGTGTGTGTGTGTGTTCATTTATATATGGGATCGGATTTCCTACATTTTTCAACTGATTTCAACAAAACTTCACTTTTTTTTGGCAGGTAGTGTTTCTTATTGTCTTGCACACTTTTTTCTTTATTTTTACATTCAGAATGCTTTCAAAATTCCATTTACAAGACAATTGTTTATAATAAAATTCTATTCAATTGATAGACTCTTAACGATTGAAAACAATGTTTTTGTTTGAGTTTGGGTTTGACCAATTCGTAAAAAAAAAACAAAAACAAAAAAAAAACTAATTAAGACATGCGTGTCCGTCAACCTTAAACAATAATCTTTGTCAATTTTATTTTTCAGTCTTTATGATGGTCGATACTTGATCTATCTCTTATTGTTACATCCCTGAGCAACGCCGGGCTCTACTGCTAGTTACTACTAAGAAGTAAGTACCATTCTCAGCCGTACTTTCCCTACTTTCGGCCTTGTGTCACATCTAAGCTATGCTTGGAAAAATCACAATAATAGAGAGAAGAAGACTGACACAACTAGATAGATGTAGATCAAGATAGATAGATAGAAATAGACTATCAACAATATTCTGAATAATAACTCTCTAGTGAAATCCTCCATAGTTCTTGACATACAGCATGATTAGTTTTTACAAATTTAGTATTGGCATCCCATGACTAACAACCTTTGTATAGCTTTATGTTGTTTAGTGGTTTTTCCAGACACGCTATCTGATCATACAGTTTTGAATTCAGAGTATCCTTCTCTTAGGTTGGTTGATAACAATAACTAGAGAGCCCAGCCTGTTCATCTATTTAATCCATAGGTAGGAGAAGAGATGAATGTAATGAGCAGACCAGAATTCAAATTCAGTCCACCAATTTCTCATTCTGAGCTGCCAACTGTCTTACCTGTACATCTGTACCTGCACTGTTCACAAATTAAAAATTAATGAATGTTCAAATTCCAAGATACACATTCTACCGACCAAAGTTCTGCTACTCTTGCTTGTTGTCCTTTTTCCCTCCTTCCACAACTTTTCACTCATTCATTCAGCACTTATTTATTTAAAATAAAAATGCACTGCTTTTTTCTCTGAGTTTTATTCTTGTCAGTCACTACAAAACAAGACTGTCCTTGATGGTTTCCACTCTTTGTGAAGAAGAAGAAACCCTTCTGTCTCTTTGGAAATTACAATCTACCACTATGAAAGCAACAATGAAGTAATTCTTTCACACCTGTTTAGAACAAATGCACACTTTGGCCCCTGGCCAAATGGCACATAGGAACAGAGTGAAGAAATTGAAGACACTGGCAGCTTACCAGTTTCTTCACTCAGGTATACATGCATATATGCAGTCAAGATTCTACAAAAAAAAAGATGGCTTCCATAATCTTTTTCAGTGTTCCTTTTAGGGCACTGTTTTTTTTAATGTGCTTGATTTTCTCTTTTAATCTTTTCTGAACATTTTTTTTTATTCATGCATTCAAAATTCACAAAAGTAAATGCGTGTTACTTGCACTGAGGGACCTCACATCCTTTGCACATGTTTATCAAAAAAATGCATACACACACACAAAGTTGATGCATAAGTTTCTACAGTGCTATATTTGCAGCAAATGCATCTATCTCTAGAAGAAATATTGATAGATTCTATGAGAGTGGAACTAGAAGTGGCCTGTGTAGATAATATTGGCAACTGTCAGAAGAAATTTTCAAAACAATATAAAACAAAAATTGACTATAAAAAATCTTCTTTTTTTTTTTAATAAGACATAAAGGATTTATTTGGGTTGATTTTGAATTTTTAAAGGGTAAATTAAGAATTTTTTTTTTAAGTGGTTTTATGTAAATATATATTTTTTAACAATTGCTGTATATTTGATGTTTTTTCTCAAATGTTGGTTGACTGCTGTAACAACTTGATAGTAGGCCCTGAGTAGTAATTAAAATCAAAAGCGGTCATGTAAAATACTAACTGCTGGACTGATTGAAATGAATAGAGAAAATCGTCATTTACAAATTTGTAAGTAAAATTGAGTCAGTCTCTCAGAAAATGACTTCTTGTGACTGTAAGATTGTAAAACTACGAAATGGTCTTAAACTTTTGTTTATGACTGTGTATATATATATATATATATATATAATATGTGAAAATATATAGAAAATAAGAAGGAACAGGTTAGGTAAATAATCCAAAGTTCCTTAGTATTTTATTGAATATTTGCATATTTTCTAAGGAAATGTGAATATTTATATAATATACTTACTGAATTTACCATAAATAGTTGATTCTGATATTTATATTTTGAAAATAATTTACCATGAAATTTTAAAAGTTCCAATCTATTATATTCATATATATAGATTTTTCTAAAAATTGGTGCAGTCCCAAATTATTCACTCCTCTCCTTATGGAAATTATGAATTAATATTGCTCTATGACAATTGTAATGTTTTTTTTTCTTAATTTGACATTTAATCAAACACTCTTTTGAAAATTATATAGTACTGATCTGATTCTATAATGTTCTAAAAGGTAATGAAGTCAATATGTGAGTGCCACATACCACTTATAACTTATTTGTTCTGCAACCATGGTGAAGATGGCTGAACTTGACAAGAAGCTCTAAATGAAGATAGCTGAGGTGATGGATATACAACACTTTCCAAGCGTTTAAATGTTCCTAGATTGACAATTCATAGCATTATCAAGAAGTACAAAAGACTCATTGTGTTGAGAATAAATTAAGGACTGGCAGAAAATGGTTAATTTCTGAGAGAATGGAAAGGAAAATTGTTAGAGATGTCTCAAAGAATCCTCACTTAATGACAAAGGACATTGTCAATGATGTAAAGACATCAGGGTTGAATGTATTGATGAAGACAGTCACTAGATGCTTTCATTGAGCAGGACTTTGAGCTTGTCGCCCAAGGAAAACTCCCTTGCTTAAGGCTAAACACCTAAAATGCAGATTAGCTTATGCTAGAAGCCATCTAGAACATGGGAGTAAATATTGGAACTCTGTTTTATGGTCAGATGAAACCAAACTAGAATTATTTGGTCACATGAACTCCTGTTATGTATGGAGGAAAGTGAATGAAGCTCACAAACCAAAAAATACCCTCCCTACAATTAAGCATGGTGGTGGGAGCATTCTGCTCTGGGGATGTTTTGCTGCTTCTGGACCAAGAGAACTAGTGAGAGTACAGGGTATCATGGATAAAGAGCAGTGTTTAGCTATTTTTTGAAATAATGTAAAACAAAGTGCAGAAAATCTGTCTTTTGGGAGTCATTGGATATTCCAACATGACAATGATCTGAAACACACAGCACAAATTGTTACAAAATACTTAGATGACAACAAAATTAAGATATTAGTGTAGCCTGCACAAAGTCCTGACCTAAACCCCATTGAAAATTTATGGGCATATTTGAAAAAAAATATAAGAGAAAAAAGACCTTTTCAAATTTGGAGGAACTAGAAGCTATTGCCAAGGAAGAATGGAGCAAAATAACTATCAGTGTGTGTAGTGATCTTGTAAGGAACTATCAAAAATGATTAAAGGCAATAATCAAGAATAAAGGTTACATAATTGATTATTGAGGCAAGAGGGCCAATAATTTTGTCCTATGTTAAATGTTTTTTTAATGTTTTTTTTTTTTTTATTATTGTTTGACATTAAAATAAAAAATTTTGTTGTGGGCATCACTGCACATTCTTTTCAAATCCATTATTTCATCATTTGTCAGCCATGACTTGGTTCTCTTACTTGTGTGGAAAGTTAGAGTCCTGTTGCCAAAGATTGGATCTTCTAGCAGCCATTGTCTTGACCCAGGGTAGCACTACTTCCTCAAAGCACTTGATGTAGACCTCCATGTTGAGTCTGAAGCCCTCACCAAAAAATTTGGCAGTTCTTTTCTTATCAGAAGAATCAGAGTGAGTTTTCCGAGCTGCCATACCTTTGTAATCACCATTAGACTTATGCAACTTTTTCTGAATCCTTTGCACTGTTCACAGATTGACACACAAACATTCTGAAATGTTTGTATTGGAACTTCTGGTGTAAATGCCATGCAGTACAGCCTGCCATTTCCAAATTTTTGGTGGAGTGAATTGTGTCATGGAGCTCTTTTTCACAAGGCAGTGACCAACTGAACTGTGCAGTTGACAAAATCAAAAACAAACAACACACATATATGAAATTAAAAATATAAATTGGCGACAATTTACCCATCGCACCCTGTGTGTGTGTGTGTGTGTGTGTGTGTGTGTGTGTGTGTGTATATATATATATATATATATATATATATATATATACAAGTTAGCTAAAAATAGACCGCCCCAGGTGCAAACACAGGAGGGTGTCACAATGTATTTAGTTGTTCTGAAAATGAACAGTGATATTTTAAAAATCTTTTGATTTGAACTGATTATTTTTGGTATTTTATTTTGTCTTGGATCATACATGTAAACAGTAATGAAACCGGTCAGTAGAGTAAAGTAGAGTTAGAGGATGTATGAAAATTTAGCAACAGCAAGCCATTCAGCATAGGGTGAATTAAGCGTCATTATTTTTATTTGAGCGGACCGCTCTGGGTGATCCTTTACTCTAGCTATGCCACTGTATATATATATATATATATATATATATATATATATATATATATATATATATATGTATATATATATATACTTATTTATATATATATGGAGACACTTTTAGACTATCTGGAGAATGAAGACTAAGCAGTTCTCAATGCATGTATGGCAGTACTTCATTTTGACCCTGATCTAGTTCTTGTAATGATAGAGGATAACATGAGAAGTGAACAACATTTTAAAACCATTTTTCTTGGTGAATCTTTAGTGATGGATCATATATATGAGTTCTACTTGAAGTCTGGGTTGAATTTATCTCAATAGGGACTCAAGGCACAGTGACTCCTTTAGGGAATATCCATTCATCGTGATTAGTGAAAGTTCTGTGTCTGATTGGTGATGATGGCATGTCACTAATTTAGTCTTCAAGGCAATGAATATGAACAGTCAATTTTTCCCCTACTGATCTGTTAGAGTGAGGTCAGAGGTGAGATCAGCTACCAAGCTCTAGTCATCTAGATTTTTGGAGGTGTATCTATATACTGTTGTATCATCAGCATAGATATTCACAAATAATTGGAGTATACTCTAAGAAGGCAAAGGAAAACAGGGAGAACAGCAAATAACCTACTTCAGGAGTTTATGTGAGCAAATGGCATTGAAAGTATAGATAGGAAGTTGTGGAGAGCCTTGACCACTCATGTTCTGAAGGGACATGGTATATAACAGAAAAATGTTTCTATGATAAATTATATCATGAATCAAATACAAGTTATACTTATATATTATATAGATAGGAAGCTGTGGAGAGCCATGACCTCCCGTATTCTGCAGGGACATGGTATATAACAGAAAAAAAGGTTTCTATGATCAGTTATATTATAAACTATAATTATATACATTCTTCGGACTATTGTCCTCATCTTTTTTTTTATCTAGTAAATGAATGACAAAGTGGGAAAAAATTCTGTGTACTGTGTTTTGTCCTCTAGAAGGACTTCATTTGACTGAATAATGTTTTTGTTGATGAAATTAGATATACATAAAAGTGGTAGAAGATATAAACACTCGACTGGTTAGCGTTATATTCCAAGAAGAAACGCAGAAAGACAGAAAATAATTATTGACACTGCATTTAAATTTTTGAAGATCAAAGTTGACTGGGAAGCAAGAAGCAGGAAGTGAGTTCCACAAGTGAGAAGTGTTAGCATAGAATTTATGGCTACATCTAGACATGTCAACTGTAAAATGATGATACCTCGCTGCCAGTCTAGATATCATAGAGGAAAGTTAATCAGTCGTTTATCAAAAAATTATTGTGAAAGGAAAAGGCACAGATCTATTATGTTACGGCAATGGGTGTGGGGACTAAAAAAAAAAATGGTTTGCTCATTCCAAGACCAATAAAATTGCAGATTCTTCTTTGTATTTTATCAGAAATCAATATAAAACAGGAGCACCAAACATGGTGCATGCATGGCAGCTCACAGTTAGTAAAGGACCTGTGGAAAGTCATGATCACCTATGACCTGAAGGACCGTGGCATTAAAAGAAGAAGACACTCACATGAGTATTCTTTGTCTACACACCCTTTTTATACATTGGTATTGTTTCTGTAAGCACCATGGAACTGGATAAGTAGTATTTGGCATGTGCATGTATATGTTCTGGTTTTCTTGAAAGTCATGATAATATTTTGTTTTTACTTAAATCATATAATCTGCTTTTGTTTGCATAACAGATGATAAGCAGTTACAAAAAGGAAAAAAAAAGAAAAAGAAAGTTACCATTTCCTTCAAATGAATTTCATTTGCATCAGTTTTTCTCTACAGCTGTTGAAGGAAATTTTCATTTTTGTTTTCTTTTAGCTGCAGATGGCAAATTTAATTCTGAAATTTTCTAAAACCCTTCAAAAAAAAAAAAAAGAAAAAAGAAAAAAAAGAAGAATTTTATTGTTAAAAGTTAGCTGGTATATCTTTTTACCTGCACTTTGCAAAAATTTACAGGTAGCAATTTGCCTGTGTCCTTATTTTTTGCTTCTTTTAAATTTCTGTTACTGCAGTCAACTTCCTTATAAATGAAAGCACTACTTACAGAGTGAACATGTCTTGCAGAAGATATTGAATATGGTTCTTCTTCTTCTTCTACTACTACTACTACTACTACTGATGATTATTATTATTATTATTGAAATACATCTTCCTTAGTTGAATTGCAATACAAAAACATGATTCTGAAGCATATATAATTCAATGACAAAAAAACAAGCAAACAAAAAAAAAACACAGAGGAGAAGAGGCAGAAGAATCACCTTTGCAGTGTTGACAGCAACAAGCAGCAAGGCTTTTGTATTTATTCCTACCAGGAAATACTGAATTAGTAAAAACTATTATTTGAGGGGGGTGAAGATCAGTGGATGTGTATGCAACTTTATTTATAGGCACGTGAGGGTGATATTTTTATTAAATTCTTTAACATCGATGAAGCAAGAACAAATAACAGAGATCAAAAAAATAAAATAGTAAAAGTCAGAACAATTTTCTGTTTTACTTCAGGATTTTAATGACTTCTAGAATATCTACGTGATTCTACAGGTGAACCCACAGATTGGCAGATGAATAATTATTCTCCCCTCCTCCACCTAAATTTCTGATTTCAGGAAAATTCCATTTGAAAAAAAAAAACAAAAAAAAACAGAATTTCAGCAAATCAAATGCTGAGATTTCTAAGTATTTTAATTGTTAACAATTGTTGATAAAAAGAAATTGCATTATTTTCATAATGTATAGATACAACCAATATGACACGAAAGGAAAACAGATATTTCTTTGTTTGAAAATGCAAGGTGAGAGTTTATATAAAATTGCAAATTACAGGCTTATTTGAAAGTTAAAAGATTGCTTTTTTGGTGAGGGGGGGATGATCAATTAAGCAGTTTCATTAGATGTGATCCAGAACTCCCTCACTTCATCATCTGACTTCCCTACCTCACTACTCTGCTCAGTCTTCCCCTCTTCTTTTGTCATCAATCTTACACAAATTGGTAGCAGCACTTAGGAAATAAAAAGGTTTTAAAAAATATTTTCATTGAAAAAAAAACAACACAAAAAAAATTTAACTCACTTTTCATAAAACCACAAAACTAAAGAGTGGGGAAAAAAGGTAGAGAGCAAAGAAAGAGAGAGGGAGAGAATAAAACTGGATAAAGAAGGAAAGGAGTGAGTGTTGAAGTAAGGGGATAGGGTGAAATGAGAAAGAAAGGAAGAGGAAAACAGAGGAGGAAGAAAGAGAGTAGCAGAAGAAGAGGAAGAATGATGGAAGAAAAAGAGAGTGGAAGAAAAATGAATAAAAACAAGAATGGGGAGAAGAAGGAGAGACAAGTAGCAAGAGAGAAAGAGAGACAAGTAGCAAGTGAGAGAGACAAGTAGCAAGAGAGAAAGAGAGACAAGTAGCAAGAGAGAAAGAGAGACAAGTAGCAAATGAGAAAGAGAGACAAGTAGCAAGTGAGAAAGAGAGACAAGTAGCAAGTGAGAAAGAGAGACAAGTAGCAAGAGAGACAAGTAGCAAGTGAGAAAGAGAGACAAGTAGCAAGAGAGAAAGAGAGACAAGTAGCAAGTGAGAAAGAGAGACAAGTAGCAAGAGAGACAAGTAGCAAGTGAGAGAGACAAGTAGCAAGAGAGAAAGAGAGACAAGTAGCAAGAGAGAAAGAGAGACAAGTAGCAAGTGAGAAAGAGAGACAAAGTAAGAGAGAAAGAGAGACAAGTAGCAAAAGAGAGAAAGAGAGACAAGTACAGAAGTGAGAAAGAGAGATAAAAAAAAGAGAGACAAGTAAAAAGAGAGAGAGACAAGTAGAAAGAGAAAAAGAGAGACAAGTAGCAAGAGAGAAAGAGAGACAAGAGCAAGTGAGAAAGAGAGACAAGTAGAAAGAGAGACAAGTAGCAAACAGAGAAAGCGAGACAAGTAGCAAGAGAGAAAGAGAGACAAGTAGCAAGTGAGAAAGAGAGACAAGTAGCAAGAGAGACAAGTAAAAGAGGGAGAGGAGAGCAAGAGAGAAAGAGAGACAAGTAGCAAGAGAGAAAGAGAGACAAGTAGCAAGAGAGAAAGAGAGACAAAGAAGTGAGAAAGAGAGACAAGTAGCAAGAGAGAAAGAGAGACAAGTAGCAAGTGAGAGAGACAAGTAGCAAGTGAGAAAGAGAGACAAGTAGCAAGTGAGAGAGAGAGACAAGTAGCAAGAGAGAAAGAGAGACAAGTAGCAAGTGAGAAAGAGAGACAAGTAGTAAGAGAGAAAGAGAGACAAGTAGCAAGAGAGAAAGAGAGACAAGTAGCAAGTGAGAAAGAGAGACAAGTAGCAAGTGAGAAAGAGAGACAAGTAGCAAGAGAGAAAGAGAGACAAATAGCAATAAAATGGAAAATACAGATAGAAAAGGAGTAGTAAGAATGAGAAAAAAATAAAAAGGAAAACAAAAAAGTAAAGCAAGAAGAAGATGAATGGTTTATGAAAGAGAGAGTGGAGAAAATGAGGAATAACAGGATTCAAAAGAGAGAGGAAATAAGAAGGAGAAAAGAAAAGATCATAAGAATATAGGGAAGAAAGAATGTGATAAAATAAGAGAAAGATAAGAAGATAAGGGAATATATATATATAGAGAGAGAGTAAGCAGCAGTAAATGAAACAATAAGAAAAGAGAGAAACAAGAAAAAGAGAGAGTGGTGACAAAAATGAAGAGGAAGACAGACAGAGATAATCATAGGAAAGGTGATACTTTTTGGTGAGACAGTTGTTACAGTTGCTATAAAAGGACATCAAATACAGAGAAAGAGAGGATAGATAGATAAATAGATAGAGAGAATAGAGAGAAAAAGAGGCAAAGAAGAAAAAATGGGTGAAAGAGAGAGAAATAGTAATAGAGAGCAAAGCAGAATGAGATTGAAAAACAAAGAGAAAAAGAGAACAAGAAACAAGGCAAAAGAAAGAACGAGAAAGACTGAGAGAGAGAGAGAGAGAGAGAGAGAGAGAGAGAGAGAGGGGAAGGAATATCACTCTTTTCATGTTCTTTGTTCTCTTCAGAATTTGGTTGATCATAGTTCTGCACAGCTTCTTGTGTTTTACTGAAAAGAATGACAAGTGTATAAAAGAGACAGTGCCAGAGAGGGTGACAGAAGAAGAAAGAGTAGAAAGAAGAAACACAAAGGAAACAAGTGAGAGAGAGAGAGAGAGAGAGTTAAAGATGAAAATGCAAAGAGGAATGTGAGAGGAAGCCAGTGAGAAAGACAGACAGACAGAAAAGAGTAATGAAGAGGAGAAAGAGGAAGAAAATAAAGGAGAAAAGAGTGTGGAAAGATAGGGATAGAAACCCGCAGAGAGAGAGAGAGAGAGAGAGAGAGAGAGTGTGCTCATAGCAAAGGCTGAGATATTTTAGCAAGAAAGTTTTTAATAATTGTCATGAAAGGATGAGAAGGTTTGAAGAAGAAGGCCATAAATGCAATGATACACTGCCATCTTGCGCTTACCTTATCGATCTCTGACAAACCAGCAGACATTACCTGTGTCATACATTCACATCAGCAATAACGGTAAGGATTGGGAAAGTGTCAGTGGAAGTGTGGCAGTGGCAGCAGCAGCAGTCAAAAATGCCTCTACAATGAGAGAAAGAGAAAAAAATCAAAAAAACAAACAAAAACATACTGTTTCTTGGTGCTACTTTCTTTCCTTCTGATTCTACTAAAAACAATCTTATAATCTATTGTTTTTAATTTTATACACAGTAGACCCAACACAGAGCCTTCATTGGCAAACCTGAGAATTTATTTTGTATCATGCTGCTTCATGTTCATATGTGCACATTGGTCGTCTGCTGTAGAATAATGGTTGGTAAATATGTTTCACAGACCATGCACCAGAATAGCAGGTTTGCTCCTCACAGGGGGAGACCCTATGAATAATGATTCAAATAATGTGCATTTTTGGTAGCAGTTATTCATTGATTCAGGTTTGATTAGAAAAAATCGGTAATAATTGCTATGTACATTATCAGATAACTTTTCTTGTTTGCAAGGAGGTTTGGGTCCAATGAACATACTGATTTGTTTGCATGCAAGCCCACAGACTCACACAGATACACACACCAAGAGAAGGTTCTTGTGCACAAATATATGTATGCAGGCTTGTGCACAGGTAAAAACATGTCAGCAGCAACACTTAATTCCTATATGACAGGTATTGTCCGCTAATATTTGTCTTGTGTTGATAGTTGTAGTTTCGTTGTTTGTGATGTGCTGATCCATATGTGCCTGAATAGACAAAATCTGTGAGAGAGTGCATATGTGCATATATGGCCAATGTAAGTATTTAATGTTGTTTTTGGACTGTTGATATTGTAGATAAAATCTCCCAGAATTCATAAATAACATTATTTTTACATAGTGGGGAGATTTTGAGGTAATCATTATGTCAGATGTTTTGAACATTTTATAGTAAATGAATTTAGTAAATCTAGTAAGGTATTTATTAGGGTTGTTAAGTGATATGTAATGGTGAATTATATTTTGAATGTTTTCTTCTATATTGATCATCACATCACAAGCAATCAAAGTACAACGATCAATATAAGACAAATATTACAGAATTATACTAGAATACCAGAAATTGCTAAAAAGTCAAACAGAGACTGGAGTACAAAAAAAAAAAATAATTGAAAACACCAATAAAAGATAAATTTGGATTTAAGAAAGACATAGAAAGTGATTTGAGAAAAATTAGAAATTGAACTGACCAGCAAGAAAATATTTGAAGATGACATGAATGTAAACAGAGAAAAGACATAGAATATCAAGAACATAAGCTAAAGGCAAAAGCAACCAAAAGTAACAACCTTTATATATATATATATATATATATATATATATATATATATATTATATATATCAATAAAAAATATATAAGTTGTTTAAAGAATTACATGAAAACTGATTTTCTCAGCATTAATTTTAGTGATGAATAAAGAGCTACATTGGATGGACCTGATGACTGGGTTAAAAGTTGAAATTAGTACGCTTGTGTGTGTATGTTCTGAGAAACAATTTGCCAGAATTTTAAACAAGAGTAAAATACCATACCACTCCATGATTAACTACCTTGAGATGACGAAGTGGTTTGCATTATCCTACGACCTGGAAAGCTATGTTGGCAGGAATTTATCTCCTGTTAGGTCCAACCTAGCCAAACAGGCTAATGGGCAGGAGTCAAACAAAACCTTTGTCACTTTGAGAAGCAAATTGCAATAGCAAAAATCTTGGAACAAACAGCAACTTTCCATTTGCTGATACAGCATCTTGATGTGCAGTAATTGATGATGGATGATAAGCAACATTGTCAACTACAAGTGAATTGATCAAGTAATTCTAGTTAGCTGAATACTGCAGTTGGTAGTTGGAGTTGCAGCCACAAGTACTGAATTGTATTTGCAGTGTAAGAATAAAAGCAATTCAGAACCAGCATGACTAGAGAATCCAATTCTTCATACCATATTTCTTAGTGTGTAGGTTAACAAGGCGTGCATCTCTTTGACAGAGAAGAATAGAAGAAACTAGTTAATGGTGATTCAAGTTCACTTGAAATAGTAGTTTTAGTAAAATAGTGTGGAGAAAGAAAGAGAAGAAAGAAAAAGAAAGGGGAAATGATTGATCTGAAAGAAAGAAGCAAAGAAAAAGAGAAATGATGAACCAAAAAAGAGAAAGAAAAAAAAAAGAGAAAATAAAAAGGAGAAGCAACTGAATCAAATGAAGGGAGAAAGAAAGAATAGGAAAAGAAGAAAAGGAACCATTGAACAAAAAGAAAAGAGAAAGAAGAGAAAAGATGAGAACAAATAAGAAAACCAAAAGTTATATAAAAATGAAATAAAAGGAAGAGAGAAAGAAAGGAAAAAGAAGAGAAGAGAGAATTAAATCAAAAGTCGAGAAAAAGAAAGAAAGGGCAAAGTAGAGAAAAAAACATTAAATAAAAAGAAGAGAGAAAAAAGAAACAAAGAAAGAAAGAGAAAAGAAAGGATTGAACCAAAAGAAGAGAGAAAGAAAGAGAAAAGAAAGGATTGAACCAAAAGAAGAGAGAAAGAAAGAGAAAAGAAAAGAAGAAATGATTGAATAAAAGAAAGAAAAAAAGAGTAAAAAAAAGAACAAATGATTAAACCAAAAGAAGAAACAAAGAAAGAAAAGAAGAAATGATTGAATAAAAAGAAAGAAAAAAGAAAGGGAAAAGAAGAGAAGAAATGAGTGGATCGAAAGAAGAGAGAAAGAAAGAAAAAGAAAAGAAAAGAAGATACTATTGAACCAAAAGAAGAAAAAAAGAAAGAAAAAGAAAAGATGTGGAACAAAACCATTGAACCAAAAGAAGAGAGAAAAAAGAAAGGGAAAAGAAAAGAAAAAAATACTGGTTTATATTCCCCAATCATTTTCTTATACATATTTACCATCAAGCAAATTTTAAATGATACTTTTTTCACGGAATCTACAAGAGAAACGTGAAGAGATACCATGACCTATGTACAGTTGGGATTTATATTCACATATTTGCAAGTATAGAAATAATCTGAAATCCTACAAGCAATGTATATTGCAGTGAGTGCAGTACATGTGACTTTTACTGGTTGTTAAGTGCATTTAGCAGGATTCCTTGAACTGCTGCAAGAAGACGTAGATATAGATTGAGATATCACATGACTAGTGTTAAGAAGAAGAAGTCAGTTGAAACACTTGGAGATTTTCTCTAGTGTCATGAGAACTGTTCCTCATCAAAGACAAATAACAGTTTGGCACATACCTTATTGAATAAAGAACCTGGAATGAAGCAGTTAAGTTGAAACTTCATAAAATTAAGCTAGGAGAAATAAACTGTTACATTTTAGTAAAGAAAAAACACAATGCTTTATTCTCTCTCTTTTTTTTTTTTAGCTCTGCATTGGTTCTCTTGGAGTGCTTCTGTCTTGGAATTCTTTGTCTAAATAGAAACATTCTAAGAGAATAAACACAGAACTAAAAAAGAAGAAAATAACCCATATGTATTATATGTGACAATGCATTATATGTGACAATGCATTATATGTGACAATGTTAAATTTTATTTTACTTTGTTCACCTAATAAAAGGCTCAAGGTTGATGTTTTTGTATGGACATATTTTTGTATGGACAAGAAAGGAAAGTAGAAAGTAAAAGATAAAGAGGAAAAAATAACAAGTGACTCCGAATTTAACGAGGCTAAGATTGTAGTGTTCAGAGAAGCATCCTCATTGAAGTCTGGTCCATTAAGTATTGTTCTTGGGAAGAAAAAGTGAAACTTCTTTCTTACAAATGGAATATGAATTATTGCGGGTGATTTGACCATGTGCTCTTAGTGGCCTTAGCCGTAAAGGTCTGAACTGGTGGAACTAAAGAATGGAGCTTGTATAAACATTTGCCATTGAAACAGCAATAAAGTGACTTAGGCAACGTCTGGCAGATGTGGGCAGTAATGGGCTGTACCTTACTATGATGACATATGATATGTTAGCAGGAGGTTTGAATGAAGAGTGGGAGGGAAGGGGAAGATAGAGAAAGAGAAAAAGGGGAGAGAGAGAGAAATAGATACATAGATGCATTTAAGCATGAAACAGACTGTCACTGCTGGGTGTTGACTTCAGTGATGCAGAACAATGCAAAAGAGCAAGCAAACTAACAGAAGGGGTGGCATGTCCCTGGCACTCGGTAAATTTTACATCATTAGCTTTCTTTGGTGCACATTTTATTATCTTATATTGAATGCACATGCACATCTACATTTTTGGGGTAAGAGTTTCTTGGTCAGGCTTAGAGTTTTTCAGCATTCCTTATGTATATATATATATATATATATATATATATATATATAGTCAAACCTAGAGAGCCAGACAAACCTACCAAGGTTTCAACAGACGTTCATATTCCTAGCTCTTTCTTTTTTTAATACCTTTTTTCCTTTGAAATTGATTTGTTCATTAGCAAATCAAGAAACTGAAGGTTTTCCGAGGCAAGTGTAGTTACTTATGTTTATATATATATATATATATATATATATATATATATATATATATATTTATTTTAAGACATTTTTTATGTTTATACATTCTTTTTTATATATAGTGTGGACTTTTTCCATTTCATAATATATATATATATATATATATATATATAATATATGTATATATATATATATATATATATATATATATATATATATATATATATGTATGTATGTATATATGTTATCCACAATTGCCAGCTTCTTACACAACTCACAATTGTCAGGTGGTAAAGAGGAACAACTCAGGCAGAGATCTCTGATGCGACCATGTAAAGTTTATTATATATACCATATATTTGCTTTGTAT